TCCCGGCTGCCGGCCACTCACGGCAGCCCACTGCAGCCCCACTGCAGACTACGCCGTCGCTGGCGACTCATGGCAGCCCTGCTCCAGGTCGAGCTGTTGTTCACCATCTTAGCTGTAGAGGGCTCAGCGTCACTGACCAATGTGGGATCCGAACCGGCAGCCCTGCTGCTCAGAGCTCGTGCTCCCAAGCCAACTCTTAACCAGCGAGCCACTCGGCCGGCTCCTGCTTTTTGTTTTTTAAGCCATCATCTATGGAGTACTTCCTTGAACCCAGGCACACTATGACTTTACATGTATTAATTCACTTAATTCCTAAACCAGCCCATGAGATTGGATATTATTACTGATCCCATAGTATAGGTGAGGAAACAACTAAAGACCAGGGACATTGACTCATTTGCCCAAGGTTAGTCAGCTAACCGTACGGGACAGAGCTGGGACTTGAACTCAGACGTTCTCCTTCCAGAACCCATGCTAACCACCAGACAGGCATACCACGTTTTATTGCACTTCACAGGTGTGTTCTTTACAAATTGAAGACAAGACCCTCCATCCACCAGCAAAAAGATTACAGCTTGCTTTATTGCAGTGAGTGGTCTGGACCCAAACCTGTAGTATCGCTGAGGTCTTCTGCCTGATATTAGCAGTTATGCTAACCTCCTTTGCTGAATCGTGACATCTAAGCTGAGCTGGCCACCGTACAACTCCATACGACAGAGCTCCTTTTCTGTCATAGTCTCTGCGAATGAGGCCTCTGGATTTGAATAGTCTCACCAGACAAGTGCCAGCAGCACTCCTGTCTTTTTCTGTACCTACTGATTCTGTTTTTTTCTGTTCGTGTGCATGCGCCCATGTACATATATGCATAGGCACACACTTGAGTCAACACATACATAGCTGCTTTTATATATGCATACGTTCTTGCACTATTCTCTTCCACGCTTTTGACCATTTGTGGAAAATTGTCCAGTTTCAAGCTACTCCCCTAACCTCTTACAATGTCAGGGTTAAAGAATTTCTGGTGTGCTTTTGTAAACATGTTGAGAACTTTAAATGTTTTATGATACTTACAGTCCTTTTATATGTTAGTAGTGAGTAGTTTCTCAGATCCGAGGTAGACTTTGGATGGACCGGTTACCCTCATCCTCAGCTTTGTGCTGGCAGGTGTGGGACCCTGATGTGAAGCTGGCTTCTCTGCAGAATGAACTCAGCTGTGGTATTAACACTGTCACTCGGGTCTCTAGGCCAGCATTGTACTTCCTGGCCAGTTGGTCTGTTCCCTTACTCCTCAGGCTAGTACTGAGAGCAGTGACAAGAGGGTAACATCTATCTGTGGCATAATTTTGCATCTGCAATTTATTTGAATTTATTTTTCTCATTAGGTAACCAGCCACAGCAAGGAGTGACTCCCTACGGGCATCCTTCACACTTCTGAAATCCAGAAGAGGACAAGACATGGATTTTTAAGTTTGCACTGAAAAATAGAAAATCAAATTTAATGCATTAGTCATCTTTAGAAATGTCCCTTTGTTCTTTCATTTCTTTGAAGTTTTCCTATATTTTATGCTACATTTCATACAAAGGTGTTTAAACAAAAAGCAAAGGAGGACGTGTAGTTTGATTTGGTTGCGTTCAACTTGAAAGTAGGCTTGAAAATGTCTGTCATGTAGGCCTACTCTAGGGTTTGCTTAGGAGACCTTTTGAAATTGATGCTTTTTTTTTAATCTCATCGTTATAGAAAGAATGAATTATGGTGGATTTAAAATATTTATTCATTAATGATGAAGATTATTTATTTATTTATTTTCTTTTTTTTTTTTNCACTGGCCCTCATATGTGGGATCCAAACCGGGGCCCTCTGGCGTCCCAAGCCAGCTCTTAACCAATGCGCCACTCGGCCGGCCCAAGACCAAGTCTTTATCCTTAAGTCATTCAGTGTCTAGTGGGAGACTCAGTTGAGCGAGGTGTCGTGCCAAATACTCAGCTTGAAAAGAATGAACCCAGTAACGCCCTGTAATTAGGGTTACCAGATAAAATACAGGACCCCAATTCATTTGAGTTTCAGGTAAACAGTGAGTAACTGTAGAATTATGTCCCAAATATTACTTGGGACATACTTAGAACTAAACATAAATTTGTTGTCTGAAATTGACATTTAACTGGGTGTTCTGTATTTTCATTTGCTAATCCGGGCGGCCCTACTTGTAATCCTGGGCTATTTTCAGCGATATTGGCAAGCTCTGAGGAGGAAATACTACATGTTTCACACATACTGGGTAATGGTTTTTTTTATAAAGACTATGTACAGACGTATGGGCGGGGCTAAGGGATGCTAACTGGGGATGATGAAACGCCTGGGGCTGGAAGCAGTAACCACCACTACGCCCTGTGGGGCAAGAGGAAGGAGAAGAATGGGGACAGCTGCTGACAGAGCTGTGACCCTCCCAGAGAGATGCGTTCCACCAGCCAGACCCATTAGGAAGGAAATTGGCAAAAAAAACAAAACTTGCTCTGCTCCTGCCCTGGGAGCGCCCTGCTCCTGAGAGCGCCCCCTCCCGCCTAGAAGTCCGAAGGCAGGGGGCCGGCCTGCTGACACCCTTCCTGCAGAAGGCCTGGTGAGCACCGGGTCCGGCGGGTGGGAAAGGGGTCTGTGCTGGTAACTGAGAAGCCAGCACAGTTCTGATGTGTGTATGGTTAAGAGAGCTGTGTATTAGAACTCTTCTTTTGTTGCATCAACAATTAGGCAGGCGGATGGGGAATAGAGTCAATGGAACTGTAACAGCTATGTACAATGTCAGGGGGGTAATAGATTGGCAGAAGGAGAGTTATCACTTTGTGAGGGGTGTAAATGTCTAACCATTGCATTGTTTTGTACACCTGAAACTAATAAAAAAAAAACAACCAGGCTGAAAGAAGGGGGAGAGGGGCAGAAGGGAAGGAAGAAAAGCATGAGTCTGACATTGGAAGGTTAAGGAAAAAAAATCAGCACCACCAGTGATTTTAATCAAAAGTAATTTTGCTTCTACCAGATAGATTTTCTTTTTTCCTCTTTAGAAAAAACATCAGTTTCTTGTATCAACTTAATGCCTATAACTAGGGCACATGGCCCTCATGCTGTGCCTACACTCACATGACCCTAGAAGTGAGCGGCTCCCTGGTTCCTCACTGGGCTCACCCTGAGCTTTGGCCACAGCAGGCGGGGAGTGGGGTTGGCTGATCTTCATCCATCAGGAGGGTGTCGTCCCAAGAGTCCTTAGGGCACTGCCCTGCCTCAGCACACCCGTCTCCATTCATGCAAGGCAGGGCTTGTGGTGCTTGAACACATCATTGCCAAAATGAAAATGGTTTAGAATATGGTGGTACTAATTAGCCACCTGGTGAAGGGATATTGGAAGCCCTGGGCCACCGCTGGAGTATGCACGCCTTCATCAGGACTCTTCAAGTAAATGCCAAGTAACTGCCTGGAGATGGGTTTTTTGTTGTTTTGAATTTTATTGGGGAACATCAGCTCCAAGTGAAGTAGTTGTGTTCAATCTAGTTGTGGAGGGCGTAGCTCAGTGGCCCATGTGGGAATTGATCCGACAACCTTGGTGTTATGAGCCTGCGGTCCAACCCCGTGAGCCAACCAGCCGCCTTTACAGATGGGGTTTTAAATGGGATGTTCACCAGGGTATAGATGAAAATGAATGAACGCACACTGGGCATGGCATCTTTGTCCCGAAGTATTTAAAGGACGCTACAGACGGTTTGGCCCTGGGAGCTGTTTCTGTACTCTCTCACCTGTGTTGGGCACCATGGCTGACTTCCCTCTTTCTCCTGTCAAAATTACAGTTTCCCAGGCAAGGTTTGCAGCAGACCCAGCAGCAGCAACAGACGGCCGCCCTGGTGCGGCAGCTCCAGAAGCAGCTTTCTAGTAAGTACCCATCCAGTGCTGAGTAGTTGGCTCCCAGGAAATTACACACCAGCAAGCAAGCAAAACGCAGTGCTGGCTCCTCAGAAACTGCCGTTCAGTACCACTGGTTTAGTCCAAGGTGTTCTAATTGTGTTTTAGTTTGGTGGTGGTCTGAATGCTTCTTTCCTTAGAAAAGCCCTAGTCTTTGTTTTGGTTCCATGAAAGTGTTTTCCTGTTGCTTCCATCTGAACCTGGAACTGTTTCTTTTCATTTGGGGGAATCTATGTGGAACTGCAGGTGGCCCTTTTATAAAGCTGGAAGGTTCAGAGAACAGCTCAGTTGATACCGTCTAGGGTACTGATGAAGGAAGCCAGGTGGCCCCCCAAAGATCACAGATAGAGGGAGACCAGCACTAGACCTGTCTCCTGGCTACTAGGACCATGGTTGCTCTAATCACTGTGACATCACAGACAGCATGGCAGGGCCGTGTTCTTCCCCAGTAACCTTGCCTGCTATGTGGTGTGATTTTTTTTTTTTTAAATTATGCTTCCCCTAGAGTGCATATCTCTAGCCCATTTCAACCGACCTCATCTAGATGCCAAGCAGCGTGCTTCTGTGAATCGAATCACCCCTGTGCTGGAGTCACGGGACAGGAAATTCTCTTAGGAATGGGAGCCAGCCCCCTGTGAGGCAAGGGATATTTGCCTGGAAGTCAGGAGACCTAAATGCTAGTGCCAGCTCGACCACCGTCATCTGGGTCATATAGTAGTTTATCCATGAAGTGAGGAGTGAGGGGCGCCATTTCTCCTGGTGTCAGATTATAGGCTTCTGGGGTATAGCGTGAAGAGCAGCTAGCTAGGCAGGTGGGTGGCTCGTAGGCTACTGTGAGGAAAAGGCTCTCAATTTATGGCTGGGGGCAGCTTGGTTTTAATTTTCTGCCTGGCCGCCGTCTGTTGATTGCCTGGCGAAAGACGTACTCCTCATATACCTTTGTGTCTCTACCAGTCATGACCAAGATCTTTTTTCTTCTAAAAATATCTTCCTCTTAAGGCCTCATTTAATTTCAGTTAAATCACATAGCTCAGCCTTCCTTTCCAACTTCTGTTTAATAGGTGTGACCCATGAAACAAATGTGTGGTTAAATTTTCATTCTTTCATTAATTCCAAAGATATTTTCACATGGCTAAAGAGAATATAATTTTAAGGATGAGACAATGGGTTTATAATTTGGATTTTTTTTCTAGTGTTTAGAAATATGCACCTATGATTTTTATGTGGTAGTACCTATGTAGGGAGCATATCAACTCTTGTTTCCTGTTTCCTAAAACTTACGAAAGGCAGCTTTTCAGTTTTTTTGCTTGTTTGTTTGTTTTTGGGGGTTTTTTTTAAGGTTTTATTGGGGAATTGGGGAAGGGGAACAGCCAAGTTGTTGTCCTTCAGTCTTAGTTGTGGATGGCGTAGCTAGCTCAGCTCCAAGTCCAGTCGCCATTTGGCTGCCTCTCGGCAGCTCAGGGCAGCTCAGCTCAAGGTGCTGTGTTCAATCTTAGTTGCGGATGGACGCAGCCCACCATCCCATGTGGGAGTCAAACTGGAAACCTTGTTAGGAGCTCTCACCAGCTGAGCCATCCTGCCACCAGTTGGCAGCTCAGCAGCAGCTCAGCTTGGGCGCAGCTCAATGGCCCATGTGGGAACCTAACCGGCAACCCTGTTGTTCAGAGCTTGCACTCTTAACCAACTGAGACACTTAGCTGGCCCCAGCTTTTTTTTTTTTAAGATTCTATTGGGGAACTGGGGAGGGAACAGCATTCGGGAATTGGGGAAGGGGAACAGACAAGTTGCTGTCCTTTTGTTCTTCAGTCTAGTTGTGGAGGACGTCGCTTCACTGGCCCATGTTGGTA